AAGATCGGACATAAACACGATTAAAGCATTATTTATGGTTGTGTGATAATAGGTTTTTGGCCTGGGAAAGCACTTCTGTAAAAACCTGGGGAAACTCTCTTGCTGCGGGGATCAGTACCGGATCTGTTACAGGGAATTATCTTCAGAGACGTCAGCAGCACTCAGAACTTAGGTCCAACGATGTCGTTTTAATCCAAGAACACAACCAGAATGCAACCGGAACATAACCGGAATGCAACCAGAATGTAACCAAAGAATATTTTACAAGGCACGACTATTTAAGCCGAAAACACAATTCTAAAGGATTACGTAAAGCTATTAAAAATTCTTAACTAAACATTACCTAACACATTTCAGAAAGCTCGATTGGCTATAACGGAATTCAACGTTTACAACATTAATAACTTTCAAAACAATACAGGTAGATAATAGTTTAACAAAAGACTATCGTAGGTAGCAATTACAGTTCAACGCTTATTACAGTTATGATCCTACAAGAAACTAGCAGGTGTCTGTTACGGTCAATGAACTGGAACAGTAACCTGTAACTTAGAAATGCAAAACGAGCCAAAACTAATATTTACGTTGGATTTCTATATTTTCTGACAGCGGAAGCAAATGTAAAACGTACTTAATTATCCAATTTTCTCTCCTCACAGTCGCCTGTTTGTTGACAGTAAAAGACATCGCTTTCTCACTTGATGATTCTATGTCCATGGCCCCCATATTACCGCAAAGTGTCAATCTTCCTTTTTCTGACTATGCAACATATCTTAAGGTGGCTCCCTATAGTTTTACAATCGCACGCACGCTGAGGACGAAACCTCAAGTAATCTGTGCGCGCTCAAGGGAAAACGTCGATGTTTTTCGATATTCTATGACGTCAGCATGAGCACAAAAAGCAAAACTGACAATGAATTTTTCCGCGTTTCCTTCGGTGATTTTTTTTTAAAATTTGGCTCAGTTGAAACCACACACAACTCCTATAAAATACCCTATTTTTGCTAAAATCTGTCAGAGCTAATCTAACATATTTAGAAGAATGACAAATTACAGAATATTGGAAAAACCATCAGAACAACCTTGACTTTTTGCCAATTCAAAATGTCAGGCAATATCATTTCCATGATGTGGCAAAGTATAAAGTAATTTCACC